CAAAGACTTCTGTGATCAGAATGGCACGTTTCACCAACTTTCTGCTGCCAGAACACCCCAACAAAATGGTGTTGCAGAAAGAAGGAACAGAACACTGAAGGAAGCTGCAAGAACTATGATTGCAGAATCAGGATTGCCCATAAGATACTGGGCTGAAGCAATCAACACAGCATGCTACACTCAAAATAGAAGCATGATTCACAAGAATCATCAAAAGACACCCTATGAACTATGGAAAGGGAGAAAGCCAAACATCAGCTACTTCCATATGTTTGGATGCAAGTGCTACATTCTAAACAATGGAAAGGAGAATCTGAAAGTATTTCAAGAAAAAGCTGATTGATAAGTCCATTTTTGTACTTATTTTTCTTATCAAATTTAAGCGATTTTTGAATGAAAATAGAAAGAAAAGACACATTTTATATATTTTGGTTCAAGTTTCATGAAATCAGGTAAAAATCACATCCATAATATGTTTAGCGGGATTTCGGGTCAATTGAGCACAAAATGAGTCAATTTGAGTGACAAATGCATTTATACCGGAAGAAGCAAACATTTTATCAAGGTGATTCAGAAGACAAAGTTGAAGAGCAAGAAAAGCCGCATCTGCCAGACAAAAGTGGCCGAAGGCGCCCAAATTGGCGCCCAAAATGGAGGCCTTCGCGGCCGCCTACGGGAAAATTCAGAAGTCAACCTCGCTTTGACTCGGGACCAGGAAAAGACCGAAGGCTGCCGACACTGGACAGAAGGCGGCCGCCTACGGTGGCCGCCTGCGGCACAAGGGGACGAAACCAACCACCGGTCGGCCAGACAAGATGGCAGGCGGCCAGACAGGACGGCAGGCGGCCGCCTGCTGGACCGCCTGCGGCGGCCGGGGTCCGCCGGGATCCGTCGGGATCCGATCTGCCAACGAAAAGATGGCAGGCGGCCATTTTTGACAGAAGGCGGCCGCCCTCTGTGGCCGCCTACGGCTGACGAGACCGGCCACGATCCGCTGTCGGCGACGGGACGGAAGGCGGCCAAAATGAGACCAAAGGCGGCCGCCTGGTTGGCCGCCTACGGAAGGCGGCCAGATTCCGACGGAAGGCGGCCGCCGTCTTGGGCGCCTTCGGTGAAATTTCTGCTATAAATAGCAGGCTTTTTCCCCATCTCAAACACACCAATTTCAAGCCCAAATCAGATCAAAAAGGGCGTCTTCTTCCTCCTCAAAGCTCGGATTTCCACCATTGTTGCACCTTCAACTTCAAACTTTCATATCTTTCTCATTTTAGCTCCAAATTGTGAGTTCTTTATATGTATTTTCATCCTCTCAATGAGTAGAATCTGAATCTGTACTTAGTTTTTTTTTATCTGTGCTTCGAAAATTTCCAGAAAATTATTCCACTATTTCGCATTTTCTTCTTAAATTTGAATAAAATAGTTGTTGACATTAAATCCATTCCAATTAATTATATAGTTGTTTACTAGCCTCAAGGTAGTTATTTATCATAACAAAGTTAATTTTTACGAAGTAGAAGTAAATTTTAATAAATTCCGGCATTTAGTTGTTATTATTGCATAAATTAAATTAAATACTCAAAAAGAAAAAAAAATTAGTTTCTGTCCTAATTCTAGTTTAATTCACAGTAATATCACTCCCAGTAGTCAATATAAAATTTAGAACGAATTTAAAATAATTTTAGTTGCTTTTTGCATTTTCTAGTTAAATTTGGGAAAATTATCAATTAGTTGTTAAAATTGGATTTTAGGTTCAAAAATTCGTGAAAAATTCCAGAAAGTTATACTTCAGTTTCTACAAGTTTATTGTTCCAGAATATAAGTTTTTCTATCATCCATGTTTAATTCCTTGTTAATGTTGAATATATTCATTATATTGTTAGTTGTTAAAATGATCTTTATTAGCTAAATTTGTTTTGGGCATGAATTGACTAAAGGAATATGGATTGACTTGTTGACCAAAAATTAGGGATTAAAATTAATAATGGGGACTAGTTGTTTGAAATGATGAAATAGTAATTAATAATTGTTAGCCATATTCATTAATTAAATTCTTGGAAAATTATCTCTAACTTGTCTATGAGATTAGAAAATAATTTAAGCCAACCATATTCGAGCACATTAATAAGGCCTAGAAATAGGATAATTTAATGAAAGGGATTTACATCTTGTCTATGAGAGATAAATTCAATTGCTTAAATAATGAGTTTAACTAGTTAATGAATTTGGCTATTTTTATTAATTAAAATATTGGATAATTATTTCTACCTTGTCTATGAGGTTAGAATTTAATTCAAGCCAACCATTTTAAACACATTAATGACACCTAGAAATAGGATAAATTAATGAAAATAGTTTCTATTCTTGTCTATGAGGAAAGAAATTATTAGTCCACTTTTAGTTTTAATTTCCCTAATTATTAGGTCCAAGAATATATCCATTTCTAATTACTCAATTCATTGCCCTTATTTGCATCAATCCATTTAAGTTTAATATTATATTTTTTTCCTTTAGTCTATTTTTGAGCCATCATTAGTATTTGCACAATTTAATTTACTTTCTTTTCCAAAAAGTAGTTTAGAAAATCAATCAAAAGTTTTAATTTGGAAAGCTTCCAATAATTTGCGATAACCTGTGACTGGACTTGAAATCAAGAAGCTCCTCCGCCATTCCTCGAGAGACACGATACTCGGGGAAAAACCGAAAGGTTAGACTCCGTTTTACTACAACGCCGCGAAAGCGGTTATCACTGATGAAGGTGTATTCTTAGGCTACTCAAGCTCAAGTAAAGCCTATAGAGTACTCAACAGAAGGACTCTACAAGTTGAAGAATCCATTCATGTGAAGTTTGATGATAACACCTCTGCTGAAGAAATATCAGAAACCCTTCAGAAGATCAATCTTGAAGACAAAAGCTCAGAACCATCAGAAGAGGTCACTATCAATCCTGTATTTTCAACTCCTCCTGCTAATCCAATTCTGAAAGACAAAGATGAAGATGAAGATTCAGAAGATGATCAATCAGAGTTGCCTAGACAGCAACTATCAGAACCTGATCTAACTTGGTTAAGAGATCATCCTCCTAATCAAGTGATTGGTCAAGTTACCAGTGGAGTAAGGACCAGATCTGCATCCAGAAGAGAAGCCATGTTCACCTGCTGCATTTCTCAAATGGAGCCAATGAATGTAGATGAAGCTCTAGAAGATTCAGATTGGATCAATGCAATGCAAGAAGAGCTCACACAGTTTGAAAGGAATCAAGTATGGGAACTTGTTCCTAGACCAAAGCATCAGAATGTCATTGGAACCAAATGGGTATTCAAGAACAAAGCAGATGAAGAAGGCAACATTGTAAGGAATAAAGCAAGGCTAGTAGCAAAGGGATACTGCCAAGAAGAAGGCATAGATTTTGATGAAACCTTTGCACCCGTAGCAAGACTGGAAGCAATCAGGATTTTTCTAGCCTACGCTGCATACAACAACATCAAAGTATACCAGATGGATGTCAAGAGTGCATTCCTGAATGGAGAACTTGAGGAGGAAGTCTATGTTGAACAACCTTCAGGTTTTGTCATTCCTACTCAATCTTCTTGTGTCTACAAGCTCAGAAAGGCCCTTTATGGTCTTAAGCAGGCTCCCAGAGCTTGGTATGACACATTGTCCCTATTCTTAGTAAACCATGGGTTTACTAAAGGAAAGGTTGACAAGACTCTATTTCAAATTTCTGTTGCTAATCATATTCTATTAGTGCAAATTTATGTTGATGATATTATATTTTGAAGCACTAATCCAGAATTATGCAAGAAGTTTTCTAAAGTTATGCAGAAGAAGTTTGAAATGAGCATGATGGGAGAACTAAGCTATTTTCTAGGACTGCAAGTCAAACAAGTTCCTGAAGGAATCTTTATCAATCAAGGGAAGTACACCAGAGATCTAATCAAGAAGTTTGGAATAGATGGGAAATCATCAGTCAAAATTCCTATGAATGCATCTCAAGGAATTGGACCAAATGATGAAGGAAAGGATGTTGATGCTACAACGTATAGAGGAATCATTGGATCTCTTCTCTATCTGACTGCAAGCAGACCAGACATAGCTTTTGCTGTGGGAATCTGCGCCAGATACCAATCAAAGCCCAAGGAGAGCCATTTGGTTGCTGCTAAGAAGATCATCAGATATATCAAAGGAAATCCAAATGCTGGCCTATGGTATCCCAAGGGAGGTAACTTTGAACTAATTGGTTACTCTGACTCAGATTTTGCAGGTTGCAGATTAGACAGAAAGAGCACCTCTGGTCATTGCCAATTGCTAGGTGGAAGACTTGTCTCCTGGTTTAGCAAGAAGCAGAACTCTATCTCAACAAGTACTGCTGAAGCTGAATACATTGCTGCTGGAAGCTGCTGTGCTCAATTACTTTGGATGAAGCAACAACTCAAGGATTATGGAGTGCAAGCAAAGGAGATCAAGCTGTTGTGTGACAACACCAGTGCCATTGCCATCACTCAGAATCCTGTGCTGCATTCAAGAACAAAGCACATTGAGATCAGACATCACTTCATCAGAGATCATGTGGAGAAGAAGCACATCTCAATTGAGCATGTTCCAACTGAAGATCAGCTTGCAGATATTCTGACCAAACCCCTCTCTGAGGCGAGGTTTAACAAGCTGAGAGAAGAACTAGGGATGATGGATGATCTTCCCAGAGATGCGTAGATCAGAGTTGCACAAGATCAGAGATCCACCCATCAGAGTACCCTACCTCTGATACCAGGACTCTTATCAGATCAACTTATCAGAAGACCTCGTATCAGAATACCCCTCATCTGATACCTGGAACATCTTTGCATCAGAGTGGCTGTGGACTTAGAAAATTTTCTAAAATTTGGACGAGTACACTCTATGTTTCGGAAGTTACTTTTCTACCCCCGGTAGTTATTTCCATAATCGGAAACGACTATCCGCACACAATCCATTAAATGCGACCTCGAAACCCCAAATTATACCAAACGTCCACTAATCCAAATTCATATATACCCTTTCTGAAAACCTAAAACGCTACTGCAATTTTTACTCTTCATCTTCAAGCTTCATCTCTCTAAAAGCTCATACCTTCAGATTTTCTCAAATCTCTTCTACACTCAAAAATGAAGTTCATCAACATCACCGATCTTTCAGAAGCTGAAGCCAAGGCGCTTGTGGCTAACATTGCCACCGGGATGAAGGTTGACATGTCCTCACTACCATTGTTGGCTGAAAACCAGAAAACAATGAAGGCGGTCATAGCAGGAATGAATGATTCCCAGCTAACGAAGATTGTGGCTCATCCTTATGAGCAGTTCAGTACCCTTGATGTGGCTGAATTCTACCTCAACGCCCACATCACCGACGACGCCATTCATTCTCAGGTGCAAGGGAAAAGCCTGAAAATCGATGCTGATGCCCTCAACGAGTTCTTCAACATCGAACTCGACTCACAAGATGAAGATACTCCCACTCTCATCGATCTGGAGTCAGTTGAAGTCTCTGTAGAGACATTTGTGGACACCTACTGCCGGCCAGATGCTACCGGAGTAGATAAGCTCTACATGAAGAAGAACCTGTTCAAAAGGGACTATGAAAAACTAATGAGCATCATGCATCGATGTCTGTGGTGCAAAACAAGCTCAACTGATCAAATGAACAACACCAATGCAAAGGCTCTGTATGCAGTTCATCATGGAATGAACATCAACTGGGGGAAGGTACTTTATAAATCCCTCACTGAGTCAGTAGAGAAGAAGGACAAGAAAACCGGCTTGTTCACAACAAAGATAGGTCATGGCCTTCTCCTCTCAAAGGTCATTTCCAAGTCTCAAGTGGAGCTCAGAAACCCCTCTACTGTTGACCATTCCAAAACTATATTTCTTACTGCATCTCCCAAGGTTCATGTGGCCATTGCTGCTGAGTTGAAGAGGGAAGAAAGACTTGAGCAGAACAGGGAGAAGGTGGTTGCTAAGTCAAAACCTGCTCTTACTAAGCCCAAAAAGAAGTCTCAGACGAAGCAAGAGGCAACCACTGAGAAGGTTGCGTCAGAGGAGAATGCATCAGAAGCTGGTGCATCAGATGTGGCCCCCATCAAGAAACTTAAACAGAAGAAGAGAAGGAAAGCAATCATTCAGAGTGATTCTGATGCTTCTACTTCTCCTATCAGGGTGCAGAAGAAGAAGAAGAAGAAGAAGACCAACTCCCCTCCCAAGGAATCAGAACCTCAGGGGGGACTAGCATCAGAGTTGGCTAATGCTCAAGTGGAACCAGCACCTGAGGTGGTTGATACTCAGGGGGAACCTGAACTTGCCCCCTGCCTGCTGATCAAGAGGCAGTCCTGGCAATCCCTTCCTCTCCAGTACATCAAACCCCTGTGGATGATGAGATTCAGGAAGACATCCTCACAGCTTTGAACAAGCAATTTGCCAGAGTACTAGAGTGGAGGAAATGGAGATTGGGACCACTCTCTAACATCTTGCAGCACTTTGGATTCTATTCTGCTGAAGAAAAGGAAGTGTTCAACTGGACTGGAACTAATGATGTGTCCAAGTGCACTGACATTCCCTTTCTGGAGTATGTTTTAGCTGAGAAGAAGAGGAACTTCAAAGGCAAGGGTCGTCTGACAGCCTCAACTGCAGTAGAGCATGCTGCAACAGATGTCTCCCCTCTCACTGAGCAAGAGGTCCCACTCTTTGAAGCATGGCTGACAGAGAAAACAATGAAGGATTCCCTTGAACCTCAACAGCAAGCTGGAGGACCTTCTGATGCAGAGCTGATCTTTGCAAATCTGATCACTGATTGGAGGAAATCTCAGCAACAGGAAATTGAGGTAATTCCTAATTCTCCTGTTCATCTATCATCACCTCCCAAATCCCCTTCACCCAAACCAACCACACCAACCACAACTCCACCTCCATCCACTCAACCTCTTCCAAATTCACCGATTCCCTCACCCAAGAAAACTCCTTCACCAAAACCACCCTCACCTAAACAACCATCACCCTGCCACCAGATAACCCCCATCAGAAGCCGCTCACCATCACCTCCTCCTTCACCCCAACATCAGAGAACCCCCGCTCTGCAAGCTTCACCTCATTCGAGCTCACCTCATCAGAGATCCAAATCTGCTTCACCTACTCCTTATCAGAAATCCTCCAAACCTCCCTCTCCACAACACTCTGCAGCATCCACTCAAAAGAGAGCACCAGTAGTGAGGATTCTCTCCTCAACAGAGGATAATGATGGATTTCTTACATCTTCACTGGCTGGGGACCTCCAATCAAACAAGAGGAAGACTCCTACTCCCCCTCCATCCCCTGCTCAACCTCAGCCTCAGAGAGGTGACTTACCTCTGCCTGAGACTCCAAAAGAAGTCCTCATCCCCTTCCAAGAGTTTGTGGAATCAGCTGAAGAATTTGGAGATCAGATGATTGCTGGACTCAACAAGATGCTTGTATTGAATCAGAAGCATGATGCTCATCTGGATTTGGTTCAGTACAACATTGAGTCTGAACTTACCAAGATATCCACTACCCTATCTACACTGGCAACTACCTTCCAGAGCTACATGAAAACATCCAATGAGAAGGTAGATAACATAGCCTCAGAGGTGGCCAGCATCCATACGGTCCTCTTCTCACAATCTCTGACCCTTACTGCTCAAGACAAGGCCATTCAGGAGCTGTCTGATGCTGTGGATGATCTTCAATGGTCCTCTGATAAGCATGCTGAGCACCTAGCAGATGTAGAGGACATCTGCAAAACCTTGAAGGAATTTGACATCAAACTGATAAACAGTGGAAAGGAAAGAGATCACAAGCTGACTCTCCTTGAAGCTACTACCAAGGATATCCAATCTGCTGTAGATAAACAGAAGGAAATCATTGGAGGGCTGGCCTCTGTAACCCAGACTCTGTCAGGTGCCCTTGAAGTCATAAAGGAGAATCAGGCCACCGAATTCTCAAAGATTGCACTCCTGCTTGGTGATCTTGCTGATGCCAAAAAGGGGGAAGATACCAGAGATGCAGAAGGTTCAAGCTCCAGAGCTCTGACAGTCACTCCTGCTGTTGACCCGGCAATATACTTTGAAAGAGCAAGGCAGAAAAGGCTAGCTGCAGGCATCCAGAGACCCCTTCCTCCTCGATCCAAGAAGGGAAAGAAAACTGCCTCCACCTTCACTCTGGCCCAATGGCTCAACAGTGATCTAGCCAAGCCTGATGCCGCCCAGTTCCAAGAAATGAAGAAGCATATGACTCCTCTACAACAGGAGAATCTTATTTTGGATAAAGATGGGCTGATTATCATAAATCATGGTGGCTCAATGCAAGAAGCAGAAGATTGGTGGCGAATGAAAGTGATCCCTGGCAATGACATCACAGAGGCCATCAGAAACTACCTGGACTGCAAACTCGAACCTCAATGGCATGAGTGTCAGACTCCAAGAAATCTGGCCTCTATCAGAGCCAAGGTAAATGCAGAGCTAAAGAAATGTGAAGAAGCTGAAAGAAGATTAGAAGAGGAAGATTTCTAAACTCTATCCTCTTGTTGCTCTAAATACCTTCTTTCAATTATATGAAATAACCAGCTTGCCTCTAATTTGCATGGCAATATCAATTTATGTGTCTTTTACTGCTTTATAATTGCTTAAATATTTGCGTGATTGATTGTATCGTACTCTTACTATTTTCCTATGCCAAGTGCCCACCAAGATCTTAAATGAAATTGTTTTTTAACTTATTTTCCTTTATGGTGAAAGGCACTTCTCTGGAAATAGTTTAAGGGTTTTGGCATCATCAAAAAGGGGGAAATTGTAAGGAATAAATGTAATTAGATTTTGATGATGCTAGGATAATTAGATAAGAATTGTAGAGTGCCCCTACTTAGATTTTATGTATTAGAATTTTTCAGTTGTAAGTATTAGTATAGTCAACTATCAGAGTCGCTATGTGGATCTGATCAGAGCTGCTATATGAGAACTGCTTTCAGAGTCGTTCTCGGAAGTCATGAGAGTTGCCCATCAGAGAACCATCAGAGTTGCTCTTCAGAGACTCATCAGAAGTCTACATCAGAAAGCCATCGGAGTTCAATAAAAATGTTCATCAGAAATCAACTCCAGCGAAGTATCTGAGTTTCTCGTCTGAGTTCATCAGAACCCCAAATTAGAATGCCATCAGAGAAGCTCATCAGACTCCGACTTACACTTGGAAGATTTCGAAGCTGTCCTCAACGGCCGGGAAATCCATTAACGGCTAGAAGTTATTTCATCCAAGGAAAGCATTCAATGCTCATTTAATGAGACTGATACGCTGAGGATTGATTGCAAATGATTGACCGAGAAATCTGGAAGATATATTATAAAAATAGAAAGCTTCCAAATTAGTGGGTCAAGTCAACAGTACGCGCATTTAATGCAGTTGTCTCCTCCTCCAACGGGCAGACAACCCCAGTATATAAGCTACACGCTGAAGAACAGGAAGACAACTTTGCTCACTTCAACATTCAAAAGGCTCTCTTGAGATTCAAACTCTACAAACATCAACAAGACAAGCTTACGTTGGGAAGATTCAAATATCCATATCCTCCAATCCCAACACACAGCAAAGTTCATCCTATTCTTCAACCTTCAAGGACTTCAACTACATATCTTTTGTAACGAAGCAAGTTGGAGAAAACTCTGTTTTCAAAACAACTTCTGCAAAGAAGGGCGTCCAAGTAACTGCAGTAGTGAAGTAGTGATACTTCCGGGAAGCTGAGTGAAAGGACCAGTCATCAGGAAGCAGGACTGCATCCCGGGTGACAACTAGACTTGAAGAAGGCGTGGAGAACTTCTTAAGTGCTGGGGACTAAGCTTTGTAACTGTTTACCTCAAAGCTAGTGGATCAGTGGACTAGAGGAACACGTTGTTCCTTGAACCACTGTAAAAATCCCCGGTGTCATTTACTTTATTGCATTTACTTTCTGCACTTAGGATCTCAACTGATTAACTCCAAGACTTGGAATCTGTGTTCAGCAGATCTTGTTTTCAGAGTTATCAGAAAGGCATTTGCCTAAGTATTTTTTGAGGCTACCCGGAACTCTTATCCGCTGCTAGACCAGTTCTGATCATCAGAACTCGACCCTCTCTGACAAGTCAACTCTGACTTAGAGAAAAAGTTTTGAAAAACTATAACAGTCTATTCACCCCCCCCTCTAGACTGTTACCAATTTAAACGGGACCAACAGTATTAGTACCTGCAAGACAAATAAAAATGGGTGAGAGGACTTACCTTGGCCGGCCAGCTTGGAGAGAAGCTTCACAAGACATGATTAGCATCAACTTAGGGCCACCATGAGCAGTTTTCGCACAAATTGGTGTGCTGTTTGTCTCCACTCATTATGGGAGATATACTTGACCAAATAAGGTGAATGAGGTGTCCTTGGATAGCCTTTGAAGTCTATTTTCATATTTGAGTGGTCTCTGTTCGAGAGGATAGAGTTATCATACAAAAAATCGAGCTGGAGTGAGCTGTGGTCTGTAAACTCGAGCTGTGAGAGTGCTGAGACTTTTGGGTTGATATCTCGAGCTATACCAATCCAATTAAGGCGTGTGAGATACCACAAGAAATCTATCAAGACGAGGAATCCGTGAAGGTCTGGTTTGCATCAATCGGAGTAGTGGAAGGCTTCCAAATCGTCCGAGCAAAACACAACCTCGCAGAAACGGATCTACTCTTCTAAAGTGAGTTGTTAACCCCAAAACCTTTCCTTTCTTTTTCCAAATGATATGAACGATTGATGGAGCTATTGTACACCAATCCAAGTGTATAATATGTCCTTATAGATTTAATTTATTGATGTAAAGGTTATGTACTAACCTAGAGCAAATCATGGAAAAACTAGGAAACGTGTTCACCGGAAAACACCCATTCTAGGGGCTGTTTTCGTACCAACGTTTAGGGGTTGAGCTAGCGCTTTGAAGAGGCTGTTTAACACTCATATTTGAGCAAGGAATCAGTTCCAAATCCACCTTGACCAAAGTCTTGACCATTGGACCAAGAAGGGATAGTTTAAAGCTCAATTGAGGTGAGGATGACCGACTATATTGCTTATAATCCTTGGGTTAATTTCATAAGATTACCTAAGATAACTAAATGTGATTTTCATGGACTATTAATGATTAATAATGCCTAATGAAAATATTGTTGTTTATTAATAGAAGATGCATAATATACAAATTTATGAGTAAATGGTGTATAGTTATGCATTGTAAGAATGATGATATGATGAATGTATAAATCATGAATTTTTGTGATGAAATATACTTTTACTTCATGTATAGAAATCATGAATGGATAAAAGTGATATTTTTGATATTGAGATTAAATCATATATAGATAGGGAAATTCATGGGAATGAGCCTTATAACTATGAATTAAAGAGCTTGGTGGCTTAAAGACAAATGGATTAGTATTGATTTTACTAGTCGGAAATGTTAGTATGAAAAGTGATAGAACAAATCCTAAGGGCT